CCAGTCATGAATCCCTTCCATTAAAGTTGGAGTTAGACTTACTAAACCCATTATGGCATTAAAACAAATGAATGAAAATATTGTTATTTTTCTAAAACGTATCTGTAGGGGTAGAAATGTAGCTTAATAGAGAGTACTGTACTGCTTTGCATATGCAAGGCTCTGGATTCAATCTCCAGCATTGAAAATAAAATAAATCAGTTAACATGCATGCTCTACACCATCTTATGTTAACACTTATAATATTACACAATCACAAACAATCTAAAACTGACAGGAAAACAAAGCCAGATAAATTAAAGTCAATAAATCATCCTTTAGACTTTCAGTTCACTAGATGTGATGGTAAAATTTTAACACTAAACCTTTTCATTGTAGAGTCTTTAAAACAAAATACAGCCTACATTTTATATCCACAAAGTGTAGTGGAACTTGACATAAGAGCATCCATCTTGGAAGAAACGTAAGGACATCTGAGTGCCTGGCAAGCCAGTCGTCTCAGGACAAGAAATGCAAGCAGTTCCATCTGAGTGCCTGACAAGCCAGGTGTCTCAGGACAAGAGTGCAAGCAATTCTTGTTTGTCCCTTGTTAATCTCCTAAGAGGATGTAGACAAAGTAAAAGATTTTTTTTTCATGGGGGGGATACCGGGGATTGACTCAGGTCCTTGCACTTGCAAGGCAGGCCACCGAACCACTGAGCTAAATCCCCGGCCCAAAAAGATGTTTTTTAAGGGGTTAGAAGGACAAAGTAAAAAACAAAGTTGTTTTTGTGAACACAGCTGGCCAAAATATTATTTAACTTGAGATATAAGATAAAATGCTAAAAACATGCTTTTCGTCTGATGCTCTGAATAGCTTCAATAAATTCTGCAGTTGTGATCATGAGGCTGCTGTTTGCCTGAGTGAGCTGCAGTCCTCTGATCCTGCTCCCCACATCTTGCCTCTCTTCATTTTGTGACACCGAGACACTAGGCGAATCGGCGACAACAAAGTAAGTGGACACTTATGGATTATACAATCTCATAAAAAATACATTTTAAAAAATTAGGTAGGTATGCTTTTCTATGATTTTAGATTTTTCCATACAGATACCTAAGATATAGTCATGCCAGAAAAGTAGAAATGGGACCTTAGAAAACTTTTGTTTCTCCCCATGTATCCCTCTGCACAGTTTAAATTCCTTATTGTACAGAAAAATATTACTAGGATTTTTTTTAAATCAGGGACAACATGTATAATACATCCCATTTATGTTAAAAAGAAAGGAAAACTATCTGATGCATATTATAAAAAGCATAAAATGGATGACTTCAAGGAGGGGATAGGGTGAGGAAAGGAAGAAAAGATTCATTTTTATTGCTTATTTGTATATTATTGACATACTTTAAAATAATGTGGTCTGCTGTTGTAACTTATAAATAATATGCATCCTCAATACCAAATTTTCAAGACTACATGAACATAAACTGCTAAATTCAGATAGAAGACTCACTGAGAATGTTAGTACAGGAAGTGTGGTCAGCTTTCCTATGAGAAGTGCCTCATATCTTCTAAAATTTAGGTTTAGGCTTCTTAAGAAAAAGCGAATAATGTTTTTGGAAAAAGGATTTTGAGGACTTATGTAAATATTGTTTCCTTTGCTCAATGTTTTGAGAATCTTTAACTTCACTTGCATACCATGACTAATTTTTAAATTTCTTCCACATGCTAGCTAATTCACTTGAAATTTTTTTTCTAACAAGAAATCTTACTATCTTGAATCAAAGATAAAGCACTGTTACTACATTTAGGGAGAAACATTAGTTTTTATGCTGAGACCTATAAAATCCACATAAAACTTGTTTTTACCCTATAGACCAATATAATACTTTACATCTGGCAGTCTACTTAATAACCTAAATAGGACTGAATACAAACATACCCCATTTTGAAATTCCCCATCAAGTAATAAAATGTAACATATATGTTGTTATCCCAATATGTTGACTTGGAGACGCAGCATGACTGAGCAAAAAAATACTAAAAGTAAAAAATTTATTTTGAAGCTGGGAGTGGTGGTGCATACCTATAATCCCAGCATTTGGGAGGCTGAGGCAGGAGAATCACTTGAGAGTATGAGGTCAGCCTGGAATACATAGTAAGCTCAAGCCTGAACTACATAGCAAGACCCTGTCTCAAAAATAACAACAACAACAACAACAACAAAAAAAGAATTCTGAAATGGGACTCTGGTGATCTGGGTCTGGGTGAGTATGATCACAGTCACTAATTTGCTGTAATATCTGAGAAGTGGAAGGGAGGGGTTTAGAGGGTCTTGTATTTCAGGATCTCTATTACTCAGAGAAGATGGTAACTCTTTAGGTCCTAACCAAAATGTATATTTGCATCAAAAATTTAGCTTACAATTCAATTCTTATATCCATCCTGGACTCTGGTATCTTTGCACTAAAAGAACTCTTTTTTTTTGGTACCAGAGATCAAACTAGGGACCTTGCACTTGCAAGGCAGGAAGCATCAATAAGCTAAATCCCCAGCCCCAAAAGAACTCTTAAGATCACTCTATACTCCAGAATTCTATGATGTTCATAAAAGAATTACCCACTGGAAAAACTATGCAGAGCTAATTATGAAATATGTAACTACTTACTTGGAATCTCAAAACATATTAGTTAAAATATAGCAAATTTCTATTTTTAAAAGATCTATTTAGACAGATATGGGTTAATGCTAAAATAACCCTTTAAAATGTACTTTAATGCTTAATAACTGAAGGAGCATTAACAATTTTAATTATCTTCAAATGAATTAACTTATCTCCTTTCTGGTACTATTATCTTATAATTAAGAACCACAGACAGGAGGCTGGGGATTTAGCTCAGTGGTTCCGCCGCCTGCCTTGTGCTTACGACCCGGGTTCAATCCCCAGTACTAAATAAATAAAAAAATAAAAAAGAACCACAGACAGGTAAAAGACAAAACTGGGTCTAAGTCCTCACTCTACCCCCTTCCTACCTGTTTGAGTTCCTGAGACTACAAAAATGAAAACAAAAGTTGTAATACCTATATTTCAGTTACTGAGGATCAAATGAAGTGATATATGTGAAATGGATGGTACAGTGAATCAGACATAACTAGCACTCAATAAACTATTATTTGGGCTGGATGTGTAGCTCAGGGACAGAGTACTTGACTAGCACATACAAGGCTAGGGTCTCCAGCACCACAAAATAAAATAAATTTTAATTAATGATAAAAATAATTTGGAATATAGTCTTCAAAATGAGGAAATAATGCAGTAACTACTACTTTAAATAGTAAATGAAAATTTCCAGAACTAATTTCCTATTTTTAATAACTTTTTTCAATATTCTCCTCTGAAAAGAGAAAGACACAGCTTTAGCCAGATGCATTTGAGTCACAGACTTAATCCAGCCACTCAGTAATAATTATGTATAACCTTGGCCACTTAAACTCACTCAACTTTGTAAGGCTGTTGCAAGTATTCCAAAGATAGGTAAATTACACAAAGCATCAAGACCAATTTCTAACACTCCTAACAGTACTTATTACAATTTTTCTTACCTATGTTTTATAGCTGATAAAAACCAGAAGACAGAAATTATTAGCAAATGGCAAATAAATTTTACCAGGCCAACGATGGACACTAATCTTATCAATTTAAGCACTAAAACACTGTTTTTTGGGTCACATATTCCTTCCAGAATCTGATGAAAACAAGGTCCTTAGTTCCTAGGAAAGTTTCAGATTTCAGAAAGCAATGTGTGTCAGGGACCTTGTATTAAGAGGAAACTAGCTAGGCTTTTCTGCACTTATCATGCAAAAGTCTGTAAGTTATCTAGTTGGTTTTGTGGCTGAATGATACATTAACTGGACTCACAGTGTAGTACGTAAATCCTGCTTTCTTAGACTCAATTTCTAAATAAGTTAAAATATCTGGTGTTGCGTGTGAAAACCTACCTTGATAAACAAAGCTACAAATTATGTTATAACTAATTAGTCCGAATATTCCTAAATACAATGCTTGAACACATAACCCCAACACTGAACCAAAAAGGAAAAGAAAGAAGTCCAGATATCCAATAAATCTGGCTGCATTCAATTCTTAAAAGTCAGAATCGATTCAAGTAATCCAGTGAGCTTCTTGCAAAAATATCTATAAACACGGAAGTGTTATAATTCACAAAAGTGGAGCCACCAAAATATAGCTGAGCCACTTCAATTTACTGAGTGACTTAGTGTAGTTTATCCTAATGCTCCCTGCGTGAAATGTGTTTTAATCCTTTGACTTAACCTTCTTAAACTCGCTGAGTTAATAACTTCATCAAACTATTTAGGGCTGTAAGAATGAAGTCAGACTATCACAGACTCAGTTCTCCAAAAGCGCAGCCCCCAGGGTGCTAAGGTACTGGACCAAGTTCTGTCCCAATGACCTTGGTCCCAGAGTTCCCTCCCTTCCTCCAGCCGGTCCATCCACGTGCTGCCTGCCAGCTGCGGTAACCCCAAAGGTGGCTACGGGTCAGGCAAGGCGCTAGGGACAGAATGCACCGAGCGAACAAGAGTTGCGGACAGCACCCGGGCAGTCCCATCTTTTCTCTTGCACCAACTCCCCCAGCGGCGCGCGCTCAGCCCACAGATGTCTCCGACCGGCGTCCTACTGGAGAACCCCGACCTCCCTCCCGCGCCAAGCCCTGCAACCCAGGCTGCCGGGGAGGGTTTGGGGTCAAGCCGCGAAACAGTAATCCTCTATTCTACATCCAATGCCCGGGTAGGGAAGGGAACATCCCGAGAAAGGTGCGGACCAAGGCAGGAGGCAAGTAGGATGGGGAATCCTGCGCCACGCCACCTCCATCTCCTCCACCACTTTCAGGGCTCCCTGGAGGTCCTTCCCGGTCGCCAGCCTACGAGCGGCAAGCCCTGACGCGTCAGGGCCGGCCGGAACCCTGCGGGCCCCGGGGTCCCGGGGACGCAGCGCCCTCACCATCAGAACTTTGGCCGCGTTCTCCAGCTGAGCGATCACTTCTGGGGGCCCCAGCGTCGCCGCCATCATGGTCTCTCTTCAATGACGCGCCATGCGCTGCATTCTGGGAGCGGGCGCCGTGGCCGGCCAATCGCCGCCGCCACCCCGGAGCTTC